GTGGAGTTTCTTGTGCCCTAGCCAATTGGCACTGCCCATTCCTTGCACTCAGGAAAATCAAGGCAAAAACCTGGTTTAGCCCTTCATCTTACTAAATTTGAAGATTTTAACCCCTCACTTTATATTATGACACTTTTAACCATTTACCTTACTAGATTTGTAAGTTTTAACCCCTTATCTATTAAAATTGAAAAAAATATCTTTTATTTTATACTAACTGTTAACGCTGTTAGTTGAAAATAGGTTTTTATCAACAAACAGTCAACTAATAGTCAGTTAACAGAATTAACAAAATATTATAAAATTAATTTTATTAATTTTGTTAGTTGAAAAAATATTTTTGTTAGTTAACAGTCAACTAACAGTCAGATAATAGAATTAACAGTTAGTTAACAGAACTAACAGTCAGTTAACATAACTAATAAAATGTTACAAAGTGAGAACTATTTTTTTCAATTTTAATAAGTAAGAAACTAAAACTGTCATAATATAAGATGATGATCTAAAACTTACAAATCTAGTAAGGTGAAGGGTTAAAACCTTTAAATTTGATAAGGTGAAGGGCTAAAACTAAGATTTTACCAAAAATAAAATCCAAAAGACATTAAAAAAACAAAAAAGAAGAAGAGCCAGCTGTGTGTCGAGTTGGTCGTACCTCAAACCTGTCCCTTAGAGAATGGGTAATTTCTTTTTTTTTTTTTTTTATGAGCATGAGAGAATTGGGAAAGGATAGAATTTTTTTCAAATAAGTGAGGAGGGTAGAATTTTTAATTATTTAAATTTAAATATTTAGATTTGATGGTGAATTATTAAATTTATTGAGTTGGTTCTTAGAGTATGAGTAAATTTATTTTTAAAAGAAAATAAAAATAAATTTTTTAAAATTATTGATTAAGATAAATTATTTATTATTTAATATATGATGTTGTTATGTGTAAGAAATTTATTTGTTATTTAAATATTTTTTAATGAAAAATTGATATGTGATAATATTACATGTTAAATAATATATAATTTATTTTAATTGATAATTTTAAAAAATAATTTATCCTTATATTTTTTTAAAAATAAATATATTTTTATCTCTTATTTGAGAGATAAATTTGATAATTTTACCAATGAGTTTATACTTTATTTTTAAAATAGAATTATATTA